TCAACAGTGCAAAAGGGTTCCCCTTTCTCTATATCCTTGCCAACACCTGTTGTTTCTTATGTTGTTGATTTAAGCCAGAGAATGAGAAAATTTTAAAAGTGGCAAGAGGGAAAGAAAAACACGTAAAATATAAGGGAACAAAGATAAAGGTAACAGGTTTCTTGTCAAAAATAATGCAAACAAGGGGCGCCTGGGTGGCTCAGTGGGCTAAAGCCTCTGCCTTCAGCTCAGGTCATGATCCCAGGATTCTGGGATCAAGCCCCGAATTGGGCTCTCTGCTCAGCAGGGAGCCTGCTTCCTCCTCTCTCTCTCTCTCTGCCTGCCTCTCTGCCTACTTGTGATCTGTCTGTCAAATAAATCAATAAATAAATCTTTTTAAAAAATAATAATGCAGGGCACCTGGGTGGCTCAGTGGGTTGAAGCCTCTGCCTTTGGCTCAGGTCATGATCCCAGAGTCCTGGGATCGAGCCCCGAGTTGGACTCTCTGCTCGGAGGGGAGCCTGCTTCCCCCGCTCTCTCTGCCTGCCTCTCTGCCTACTTGTGATCTGTCTGTCAAATAAATAAACAAAATCTTTAAAATAATAATAATAATAATAATGCAAACAAGAAAATAGTACAACACCATCCTTAAAGTGTGGAAAGAAAAGAAACCTGTGAGTTTTGAATTCTGTATGCAGTGATAATATTTTTCAAAGTGAAGGTGAAATACTTTTCAGACATCTAAAAGAAATAATCACTAACAGACCTCCACTATAAAAAATGTTATAGGAGGTCTTTCAGGCAGAAGGAAAATAATACCAGATAAAATCTGTATCTACACTAGGGAGAGAAGAGCACTTGAAATGATAACTACATGGGTAAACATAAGACTTTTTTCCCTCTTATTTAAATTTTTTATTTACCAGATAATTGAAAAAATAATATAACATTCATACCATATGTAAAAATAAAATTCATGACACCAAATATCACAAAGTTGGGAAGGAGAAGATGGAAGCATACTTTTATAAGGTTGTTACACTAAATGTGAAGTAGTTTAATACCACTTAAGGGTAGACTGTGCTACATTAAAGATGTTTACTGTAAACCTTAAAGTAAACATAAAAATAACAAAGAGTTTTGGGGTGCCTGGCTGGCTCAGGTGGTGGAGCAAGGCAACTTTTGATCTCAGGGTCATGAGTTCAAGCCCCACATTGGGCCTAGAGCCTACCTAAAAATAAGTAAAAGTTAAGAAAAACACGAAGAGTTTTAGCTAGTATGCCAGCAAAGCAGATACAATGAAATTATAAAAAATATTCAATCCAAAAAGCAGAGAAAGAACAGAAAAGGAACAAAGAATGGATGTTAAATATAGAAAACAAGATGATACACTTCAACTTAACCATATCAATGGTCACATTAAATATAAATGTCTAAATATCCCCATTAAAAGACAGAGATCATCAGATTGGATAAGAAAGCAAGATCCAACTGTATGTTGCTTACAAGAAATGTCTTATTTTAAAACATTTAAATTTTAAAAGAAAAGATATGGAGGTGCCTGGGTGGTTCAGAGCGTTAAGCCTCTGCCTTCGGCTCAGGTCATGATTTCAGGGTCCTGGGATCAAGACCCGTATCGGGCTCTCTGCTCAACAGGCTCTCTCTTTGCTCAATCGGGCTCACTCTCTGCCTGCTGCTCTGCCTACTTGTGATATCTCTCTCTCTCTCTCTATTCAATAAATAAATAAAATCTTTTAAAAAAAGAAAAGAAAAGATGTGATGTGCTCATACTGGTCAAATAAGCTGAAGTGGGTATATTAATTTTAGGTGAATTGGATTTCAGAACAAAGACTATCACCAGAGCTAAAGGAAGGCATTTTGATAATGGGATCAACTCAGCAGGAGGAAATAATAACCATAAACATTTATGTACCTAATAGCACAGATTCAAAATGGATGAAGAAAAACTGGTAGAACTGTAAGGTATAACTTATAGCTGAAGGTTTCAGTACCCTTTTCTCACTAATTGATACAAGAAATTAGTAAGGCTTTATAAGATTTGAATAAAACAGTCAACTTGACCTAATTGGCATTTATAGACCACTCTTCACAGCAACAGTGGAATGAATATACATTCTTTTTAGATGTACATGGAACACTTATCAAGATAGAGCATATTCTATGTCATAAAACAAGTCTCAATATATTTAGACAAATTCAAGTTTCACAAAGTATGTTCTTTGACTACAGAGGAATTAAAGTAGATATTAAGAATGGAAGGATCTTTGGTGCCTGGGTGGCTCAGTTGGTTAAGTGCCTACCTTCATCTTAGGTTATGATCCTGGGGTACTGGGATCAAGCCCCATGTCGGGCTTTCTGCTCAGCTGGGAGCCTGCTTCTCCCTCTCCTTCTGCCGGCCACTCTGCCCGCTTGTGCACGAGCTGTCTTTATATCTCTCTCAAATAAATAAAATCTTAAAAAAAAAAAAAAAAAAGAAAGCTCTCTGGAAAAGGCTCAAACATTTGGGAGCCAATCAACATACTTCTAAGTAGTCCGTGGGTCAAAGAAGAAATCAAAAGGGAAATAAGGGATTTTGAACTGAATAAAAGTGAAAACACAATATATTAGAATAGTAGGGTGCTGCTAGAGCTGCATTTAGGGGGAAATCTGTAGTCCTAAAATGCCTGTTTTAGAAAGAAGAAAGATCTCAGATGAGTGATAGACAAGCCTCCCTAAATTATAAAAAGAAGAGCACGTGAAACCAAAGTTAAGTAGGAGAATAGGAATAGTAAAAACAGCAGAAATCAATGAATTAGAAAATAGAAACACAATAGGGAAAACCAGCGAAATAAAGCTGGTTCTTTGAGATGGGTAAAATTGGTGAACCTTTAGCCAGGGAGATCATTTTTAAAAATGTGCTGTTAGAATTAACATCCCAGTGTCAGAAAAGTAGTCTACATTTCATTTTTTTATAAAGTCATATTTTTAGATTGTATAAGTTGTTCAAAGGCACCAATTACTGTGTCTTAATTGGGAGAATTTTTTCCTGTTTTTGAAAGAGCTGTAGTTCATAAGAGAAAGATCTGGCAAATGTTACAGACATGGCACAATTTCATAGCTTAACTCATTTAACTTAGCTCTGGTGGTTTGTGACATGTGTTAGTTGAGTATTGTGAAAAGGAATAGGTCCATGGCTGTTAACAAGTATATACTCTTGTTTGATGAATTTTTTGTGTATCATTTCGGTTTTTTGATAATACATTATTGCTGTTTACCCAGGCCCCCCTAAGAGAACTATGACTGTTTCTCTGAGGAGGAGAAAACTTAGTGGAGATGTTTGAGTGACCCTTAGTGAAATAAGGAACAGATTTATTGTAGATACTGTAAGCAAGGACAGTTGCGAATGTTAAAGACCAGAGCATCAGATTTCTACTTATAAAAAAGGAATGGGGATACCTGGGTGGCACAGTAGGTTGAGCGTCTGACTCCTGGTTGTCGGCTCAGGTCATGACCTCGGGGTTGTGGGATCGAGTCCTGTGTTGGGCTCTGGACTCAGCACTGATTCTGCTTAAGACTCTCTCCCTCTTCTCTCTGCCCCTCCCTCCCACACTCTTATTCTCTCTCTCAAATAAATCTAAAAAAAAAAAAAAGGAATAACCTTTTAACGGAAGATAAAATGATATGACTCAAAGTAATAACCTCCATTTTAGTCATTGAGCATATCCAAGCAGCGGCTGGATTCTTGAACAATGCCCTCATTGACAGTGGTTTAATTTAATCACCTTTAAAGTTCATTATGACTCATAAGATTATTATATTCCTTGCCCTTTGCCAATGAACTTTTTTATTCCTGTGATTAACAGAGAAGGAAAAACGTGAAAAAATACAGCACTTGGTGTCACTCTGAAACAGGAGAATTAGGATGTTTGCCATGATGGGAAGACGTTAATTCTGTTTTTTGTTTTTTTTTCCTGGAGATATGTCAGGGCTTCACATAGAGAATCTAGAGGCAAGTTGTGTGTGTATACATCTGTACATACACACATACACACAGACTCACAGATTATACAGTGTCTGTATATATGTATGTGTAAATATATGTGAATGTGAATGTGTGTATGTATGTTTATACAGAAATATGTGTGGATGGATATACATATATAATATGTACTTACATTATAATTTAGGACTATTTTCTCTCACATATGCATTTTTACTTTTGGAATAGAATACCTTTTTCTTTTTTAAAGATCTTTTCTATTTCTTCATTTGAGAGAGAGTGAGCAAAAGCATGAGCAGGGGGGAGGGGCAGTGGGAGAGGGAAAAGCAGATGCCTCCCTGAGCCGGGAGCCCAATACAGGGCTCAATCCCAGGACCCTGAGATCACGAACTGAAGGCTGAAGGCTGACACTTAACTGACTGAGCCACCTAGGTGCCCCTAGAATACCTGTTTTAAAATGGTTTTTACCATATTATTTTTTTAAAGAATCATTTACTATTTTCCTTTTAACTTTTTATACCTAATATGGGAAGAGTACTGACCTTTGCTTTGACTTCCTCACCACAGTGCTCTATTTTACTCACTGCCATCTTACCTACTTTTCTGAAGAACAGGAAATTACCAGAATGATACCAATCATTTCAACCAATACTGGGTTAACTGTTTTTGTCATAGTTTTCATATTTATTAAATGATGCTGTATTCACAGAATTTCTCTTTTCTTAGTACCTGTTTTGTCACCTAAACAAAGCTTGATAAGGATATTATAAATACATAATTTTTGTTATGGGGAAATTCCACACCCCAGAGTATAATTTCCTCAGTTTACTTTTAGTAAACAAACTTTTATTAAACATAGATCACATCTTATTTTTCTATTTAAAATCGAGGATGGAATGAAATGGGAATTGTTTATAGGGGGAGTGAATTTGACATTTCTGTTCATCTGTATAGCATTCTTCTGGTTTTATTGATCTTCTCCATTTCTTCTTTGGATTAATATTTGTTTTCTTTTTGATAGGCAGTGATGGTTTCCGAAGACTTTAATATAGAAGCTCCCAATTATTTGTCTAAGGAATCCGAAGTTCTTATTTATGCCAGACAGGATTCACAGTGCATTGATTGTTTCCAAGCTTTTTTGCCTGTGCACTACCGCTATCATCGGCCACATAGTAAAGATGGAGAAACCTTTATTGTGGTCAATAACCCTGATTTATTGATGTATTGTGACCAAGGTGAGAGTTGCAAGTCTTTTCTGCGGTTGAAAATAAAAATAAAGGTATAGTGGCAGGTCCAAAGTCAAGGACAGGGATGACAGAAGGTTTCTTTTTTCTTTCCTTTTTAACTTGTTTTTTCTTTTTTAGAAGATTTAATTAATTTATTTATTTGTCAGAGAGAGAAAGAGAGCACAAGCGGAGGGAGCAGCAGAGGGAGAAGGATAAGCAGGCTCCCTGCTGAACAAGGAGGCTGATGTGGGATTTGATTCCAGGACCATGACCTGAGCCGAAGAAGAACTGACTGAGCCACTCAGGCAGCCCCCTTCTTTAAACCTTTTCATTGTAAAATACACCATAGGTATAGAAAAACTTCACAAATAAATAGTTTAGTATATTATTATAAGGCAAAGACCCTTATAACTACCACCCAGGTAGAGAAATAGAGCTTTACCAGTCACCCTAGAAGCAGCTGTGTGTCCCGTCTCAATCATAGCCTCTTCCTTTCCTCTAAGACTAACCCATATCCTGACTTTTAATCAGTTGCTTATGTTTCTTTATACTTTTTTCACCCAAGTGGGCATTCGTGGATAGTAAAGCCTTACCTTCCCCATTTGAAGAAATGTATTTCCACTAAGTCTCTTAATTTACAGGTTTCCCCTCTTTCCCTTTCTTTTTTTTAGAGTCACCTGTTGAGAAACCTGGGTCATCTAACCTGTCTAGTTTCTCATAGTTGAGGTTTTGGTGATTGTGCTTATGCCATTCAGCTAGCCTCTTTATTTCCTGGAAATTGGCTGCTGGCTCCAGAGCTGTTGATCAGATTCAGTTTGATTCTTTTGACAAGACTATAGGTGGTGCTGTGTTCTTGTATGAGGACTCATATAATGTCTGGTGTGTTTCTTTTTTTGGCCATTGATCCTCTGCCCCTGTGCGGCTTTCTGTTTCTTTATGCTGATTTGCAGGACTTACAGCTGTTGGTGTTTTGTCTATACTTGTATAGATTTTTTGTGTTTGATGGAATACTTTACCACCTAGTTTTGTGTAATTGTTAGCCATGAGTTTTTGGTTTGGGGAGTAATTGTTCTTTCTGTTTTTATTTGGGCATTTGAATTAAAAAAACAAAACAAAACAAAACAAGGAACTATGCAGCCTCATTTTCAGTCTTCCTAGAATCAGGACTTTAAGAAGTCCCTTTCAGATTTTGGTTCTTTGTGTCTCCAAATTTAGGTTGATTAGAATATTCACAAATCAGTAGCACCAAAGATTGGGCGATAGGAAGTTTTTAAACATCCTTTGCTGCCATGATCTATTTCATGATGAGAAAATAATAAACTGTTCAACTTTGTTAGATCTGTTCATCCAACCTAGTTTTTTTTCTTTAAATTACTCAGAATAAAGTTTGGAAAAGTGCCCTCTCTTCAGAGACCATCTGGAGTTCTGGTATTGTGTTTTGTTTTGTTTTGTTTTTTTTAGTCTGAATGCTCTTTATATGGGTTTGTGTAGTCTATGGAAATTTTTTTCTGTTGTATGCTTAGGATCTGTTAATTTTTCTGAGTATATGTTATACTTCAAAAAAAGTTTAAGTTAAAGTTTTTTAAAAAAATTGTACCCACTGGGGGCACCTGGGTGGCTCAGTAGGTTGGGTGTCTGCCTTCGGCTCAGGTCATGATGTCTACATCCTGGGATTAAGCTCCACAGCTGGCTTCCTGCTTAGTGGGGAGTCTACTTCTCCCTCCCTCTGCTCATTCTCTCTCTCAAATAAATAAATAAATAACATCTTAAGAAAAAAAGTGGCACCTACTGTAATGGGATTTGTTAAGAACTCATGCTTAACTTCTGTACAGGCTTGGTAATTTTGTAATTTCTTAGGCATCCTCTTAGAACAGGTGGCTAAAATAAAACGGCATGTGATAGATGGATTCAGGTCTTGTACATTGTGTAGCAAAGAGTATGAGTACTCATATCTCAACATGGAAGACTGGCTTAGTGTCTAGTCCAGATGCATGTTTTCTGATACAATGTTCTACCACTTTTTCTCAGAGTTTCCAATTTTGAAATGCTGGGCTCAGTCACAAGTGGCAGCTCCTTGTGCTTTGAAAAATAAGGATATATGCCAGTGGAACAATATGAAATACAAATCAGTAAGTTAATATTTTGAGGTGTTTTTTGATCATGCTGCATTATTTAAAACTCATAATGTTTCTGCCACATTTAAGGGATATTAGCATTTTATATTCTACCATTAAAAGCTGGTTTTTGTTTGTTTTTATTTTTTTTTAATTTTTAAAAAAAGATTTTATATATTTATTTGACAGGGAAAGAGAGAACAAGTACAGGGAGAGGGAGGCAAAGCGAGAGGGAGAAACAGGCTCCTGCTGAGCAAGGAGCCCAATGTGGGGCTCAATCCTAGGACCCTGGGATCAGGACCTGGCCCGAAGACAACTACTTAACCAACTGAGCCACCCAGGAGCCCTTTGTTTGTTTTTAATGTTGTTTCTTTGCTGATGGCAACAATGGCTCCTCATTTCCGTAGAGTCATAGAATCATTTAATTTGGGGACTGGAGATTTAGGGTTAGTTCCATGCCTTATATTAGTCTGGAGCCCAAGTAAGCTAATATGCTTTTTAAACGTGTGGAGTAGCAACAAATAACAGTGCTATGTCCATCTGGTTTTACTTTATCTAGAAAAATGTTTCAACAGCTGATGTCAAAGAAATCACTGCCTATGTTTTTTCCAGGGGTTTGATGGTTTCTTGTCTCACATTTAGGTTTTTAGTCCATTTTGAGTTTATTTTTACGTATGGTTTAAGAAGGTGGTCCAGTTTCATTCTTGGTTTTACTTTATAGGTACTTTATTTTATTTAGAACTTTTTATTAATTTTTGAACAACAAAATCAATTAGTTAACTTTAATATATTACATAGAAAAAGTGAGAAAAGGGAAATAAAGACTCCAAGTAGTAATATTTCGACTATAAAGTTTCTAGACAGTTGTATTGCAATTTATATATCTAAATCCAGGTTGTGGCCAGCCATTTTAATAGTTTTGACCCCGACCTTATTTTCAGTTAATAAATTAGGTAAGTATTCTTATTTCATTGACATTGGCTTTATCTGAGGAGTGTACAGTTTTCTATTTACCTTCTTAAGTTAACATGGTCTACTTCTCTCTGTTCAGAGTGGCAAGTCTTATACAACCATCTCTCTTCTTTCCCTCTTTTCCTGACCTTTCCTTCCTCTTTTATGAGCTGCATTTTAATTGATGGTTGTACTATCTGTTTGTGTTTCAATTTGACCCTAATTATCTTTAAGGTCTGCCTCCTTTGGTGGAATAGCACAATCTCTGTCATCATTTTTACAATTTACTTTTACAAGGAGTCAAATGAGTCTGCAATAAAAGTAAAATAAATTCAAATGTTAAGCCCACAGACAGACAGATAAACATAAAGCAGATTTGTTTGTATGTGCTGTTGTAGATTAATATAGATTTGAAGTATTTTCCTTGGAGTTGCTTTGAAGCCTGTCTACCAGCTAGCCTAGAAAACAACTAGTTACCGTTAAGTCTTATTATAAAGCACTGCTATTTTGTAGTGGGGAACTCTCTTAGAGCTGACAATTGTAAGACGTATGACTCTGCTAATATGTTTTGCAGCATAGAGTTGCTTTTGAGTAGATTTCCATTAGTATATGGAACCTGAACTTTTTTTTTACACTCTAAAATACATCTGGAGAATTACATGTGATTTTCTTATGTGAATGAAGAGTATAATTAGTGTTTACAATTTATTAATTTAAAATACTGGTAGTGTGCATTGCTACAAAATAAGTAATTACCTTATTAAAACATTCTGAATTCAGTTCTCTTTTAGACCATGTAACTTGAAATAAAAGGTCTTAATGAACCCTTTGATTTGTGTGTGTGTATGTGTGTGTTAACATTTCTTGTTTATATATATCAGGAAAATAGGTGACCATCACTGAGGTGGTGATCTACACTAAGTCTTGTTTGTTTAAGACACCAGTTTTTTAAAAGATAATTTTCAGGTGGTTTTGTTACAGATTATGTTATTAACATTTGTTTTGGATGTGAAATTATACTACAGATATTTATAAAAAGGAATAAAAAATAAGAGCATTCCCAAGTTACCTAAATTTTAATATTTTTAAAAACCGATTTTATTGGGGCGCCTGAGTGGCTCAGCGGGTTAGGCCTCTGCCTTCGGCTCAGGTCATGATCTCAGGGTCCTGGGATCAAGCCCCACATCAGTCTGCTCAGGGGGGAGCCTGCTCCCCCCTCCCGCCTCTCTGCCTACTTGTGATCTCTGTCTGTAAAATAAATAAATCTTTTTAAAAAAAAACCGATTTTATTTTATTTTTTTATGATTTTACTTTCTTTTTTATTTAAAGATTTTATTTATTTATTTGACAGACAGAGATCACAAATAGGCAGAGAGGCAGGCAGAGAGAGAGGGAGAAGCAGGCTTCCACCTGAGCAGACAGCCTGATGCGGGGCTCAATCCCAGGACCCTGAGATCATGACCTGAGCCGAAGGCAGAGGCCTAACCTGCTGAGCCACCCAGGCGCCCCCAAAGGCAGAGGCTTAACCCACTGAGCTACCCAGGTGCCCCGATTTTACTTATTTATTTACCAGAGATCGAGGGAGAGAGAGAGGAAGAGAGAGCGAGAGAGCACATGAGTACAAGCAGGGGGAGCAGCAGGCAGATAGAGAAGCAGGCTCCTTGCTGAACAGGGATCCTGATGCAGGACTCCATCTGACTGGGATCATGACCTAAGTGGAAGACAGACAGTTAACCGACTGAGCCACACAGGTGTCCCTAAAAAACTATTTTAAACCACAAAATTTCCTAGAGTTTTTACCCTCTTTATCTTCAAAACCAAATAGAAAATAGAAACCAAGTTGAACTGTAGGAGAACTGTTTTGTTGGTCAGGATGACAGTGACTTTGATGTTTTTTTTTTTAAGGTTTTTTTTTTTATTATTTATTTGACAGAGAGAGATCACAAGTAGACAGAGAGGCAGGCAGAGAGAGAGAGAGAGAGGGAAGCAGGCTCCCTGCTGAGCAGAGAGCCCGATGCGGGACTCGATCCCAGGACCCTGAGATCATGACCTGAGCCGAAGGCAGCGGCTTAACCCACTGAGCCACCCAGGCACCCCTGACTTTGATGTTTTAACAGTAAAAGACACATTCAACTGTGTGATTTGTGAATAATAGACTTTTTTAAAGGTATTTTGGGGAGAGAAACAGCAAAACAGAAGTGATTGGATACTTTAGCTTTATTGTTGTTTTAATGTTTTTCCTTTAGGGCTTTGACTGAGAGATAATTCTGTATTCTAATAGAAAGGTAACAAAAAGAAGTAAATGTTTATACTGATTACAGAGGTGATAATGGGAGATAGCTAGCATCAGTAAAAAGTAGAAATCAAAATTAATGAGAATTTAAGGATTATTGTGATGAATCTGATTCTGTTACATTAAATGAAATGTTGAATCCAAAAGAATCACTCAAACAATAATGTTACATGTAGTGTAGCATTGGCTGAAAGATACTAAAAGAAAAAAATTACATTAAAAGTCAAAGAAATAGTGGTTTCACCTTAGGGCCTGCATTTTAGATGTCTCTAACCTCTTTCTCTCTCTTTCTCTAGGTATATAAGAACGTGACTCTACAGGTTCCAGTGGGACTAACTATACATACCTCTTTAGTATGTTCTGTGACTCTGCTCATTACCATCCTGTGTTCAACTCTGATCCTTGTGGCTGTTTTCAAATATGGCCATTTTTCCCTATAAGTTTTGTGGAGCTTAATGCTTCCCATAAACCTAAATAAGACCTATTTACTTGAGATCAGAAATGTTCTTCTAGGGGTGCCTGGGTGGCTCAGTCGGTTAAGTGGCTTCCTTCAGTTCATGAGCTCAGGGTCCTGAGATCCAGCTCCTTGCTCCACAGGGAGCCTGCTTCTCCCTCTCCCTCTGTTGTTCTCCCCTGCTTATACTCTAGCTCTCAAATAAATAAATAACATGTTTAAAAAAAAAAGAAGGAGTGTTCTTCTAGAATCATGTCATTGTTTTTGTCTTCATTTATGGCTATAATTTTGTGTACTAGAGGAAATTTTGGACCATTTTCAACCCATTCCAGAATTTAGAGCTCTGTTGTATAGACCACTGATAATCTTTAAGCAAGTGCCAATAGGAGAGGAAACTTAATTTTGTTGAATTAATATTTATTTTGTGAGAAGTGATTTTATTTTCATTTCGGTCACGAAAAGAGTACTTTATGTGTTAGAGACAAATTATTCTCATTTTATGAATAGAAGCATTTTAATTTCAGCTAAAAATTGAGAAAATCATTATAAATGAGAATAAAATATTTTGGATGAATCAGTTTATTTAAACATTAATTTTATAAGAATATTTAAGTTACTCATCCAGAGTTTAAAGAAAATAAAGTAGGACAGCTAAGAAATTATTAATATCAAGATTGATTATTCCTTAAAGCATTTCCATTCTTTTTGTATTTTATAATGTTTTGAATATATGAATGGCTAGATGAAATTAAATACTAAGTACTAAGACACAGTTTTTGTTTAGTACTGAATTTGTCAGGAAGACAATTCAGATAGTCATTTTAGAGTATGTTTTATTAAGTTATACATTTATGAAAAAAAATATTTTTGTATCTTTTGCTCCATGCTGAACTTGGGTCTTAAACTCATGACCCTGAGATCAAGAGTCACATGCTCTACCCACTACTGCCAGGTACCCCTCTTTTGTGTATCTTCAGTGACTTTTTTTTTAAACAAAGGTTCTTATTTACTGTTTTTCTTGGGGAAAAGTTAGAAAATAAAGTGCCATAGGCTAATTAAAAAATAAAAAGGTGGGGGCACCTGGGTGGCTCAGTGGGTTGGGCCTCTGCCTTCCACCCAGGTCATGATCTCAGGGTCCTGGGATCGAGCCCCACATTGGGCTTTCTGCTCAGTGGAGATCCTGCTTCCCCCTCTCTCTCTGCCTGCCTCTCTGCCTACTTGCGATCTCTCTCTGTCAAATAAAGAAATAAAAATCTTTTAAAAAATAATAAAAATAAAAATAAAAAATGTATGGGGCACCTGGCTGGCTTGGTCAGTGGAGCATGTAACTCTTGATCTCAGGGTTTTGAGTTTGAGCCCCACGTTGGATGTAGAGATTACTTAAAAATAAAGTCTTTGAAGAAAAAAATAAAAAGGCAAGCATGTCCTTCTGTTTATTTGGGGCAATGCATTGAGGACAAGCATGTTCCAAAACAGAACCCAGTAAATCAGAGTTTGTTTGCAATGTTTGTTTCATAGAATAATGGAATGACATATATTTATATATGCTAGCACCACTTAGCTTCCTAAAACATTCTGGTGTTTTTATGGGAATAAATCTTTTATAATTTGACATGTATGACTTGATGAGTCATAATAGTTCTTTTTGAAGGTGTGCTTAAGAATGTAAATATTGAGGGTCGCCTGGGCGGCTTAGTAGGTTAAGCCTCTGCCTTCGGCTCTGGTCATGATCTCAGGGTCCTGGGATCGAGCCCCACATCGGGCTCTCTGCTCAGCAGGGAGCCTGCTTTCTTCTCTCTCTCTGCCTGCTTGTGATCTCTGTCTGTCAAATAAATAAATAAAATCTTTAAAAAAAAAATGTAAATATTGAAAAAGCAACCGAGTTCCATGAAACAAGAAATATTAGAGACCACTAATATTTCAAACCCAGTCTAATTTTATACTTATTTAGTATCTTCTTACAAGAAAGAATTCCTGTTTTTTACAAGCATTTCTTTCACAGTGGGATTAGTATGGGGACACTGAAATGAAATTATATGTCAGTTAAAATTCAGTAACATGAACAGACAGCATATTGAAGTATGACTGGATGGGAACCTGTTACCTCTTAAGAGTGTATGTGGGGAAAAAAAAGAAAGTATATGTGGGGGGCAGAATATATATATATATATATATATATATATATATTCTTTTGTATATCAGAACCAAGTTTCATCAGTATTTAAATGAGTTTTCAAGTTAATATTTGAGATGGTGGCCTGGGATATGATTCAGCCATTTATTCATTTACACAGGTATTCAGGGGTGTAATAAAAATGTGAAAGTGAATGAAGAGTACTTTGATATGACTCTTTTTGCCTAATAAATGGTTGCAGATGACATCACTTTTTTTGACATTACTTTTTATAGAACATTTCTGGTTTTGAACTCTTTATTATCTTCTTTGGATACTTTGAATAAGCACTTTATTTTTTTAACAAGTTCTGTGCCCAACATGGGGCTTGAACTCATGACCCTGAGATCAAGAGTCGCATGCTCTACCAACTGAGCCAGCCAGGCACCCTAAGCGCTGTATTTTTAATTTTTTTAATTTTTATTTTTTTAAGGTTTTATTTATTTGACAGTGAGAGAGAGCATGAGAAGTTGGGGGAGTGATAGAGGGAGAGGGGGAAGCAGGTTCCAACCAAGGACCCTGGGATCATGACCTGAGCCAAAGGTAGCTGTTTAATGGACTGAGCCACCCAGGCGCACCAAGCACTGTATTTTATAAATCAGTTTTGTAATTCTGTATATGGCCTTTTTTGTTTAAAGTGAAGAAAATGGGTACTGTCCTCTTGGTCATTTTGTTCCAGTATTTGTTGAACTTTTATGGTTTATTTTTCTTAAAGTATTAGGTTATGTTTGTTTAGATAAAAAGAGACATGAGTTACCTCAGCTAAGGGTGGTGATGGGGCAGAGATGTGTGTGTGTGTGTGTGTGTGTGTGTGTGTGTGTGTGTGTGTGTGTGTAATCTAAGCCACTCGACCAGGAATTTAGATTATTTAGCTAGGTCTCATGGAAGATGGTACATATATGTCTTGGAAACTGGAAAGATCTAACGCAGCTCTATTGATTTCAGAATATAATGAGTTTAAGAACGATTCGAGGAAGATAATTCTATTTATTTTAGGTACTCATTTATATTTTGATAATTGGTACTCAAGATATGGAGATAAATTAGGGTGAGATGACTAACACCTTTCCACATTGTCCTCCAAACTTAGAAAATATACTACTGGCAGGTAGTTGAATGTAGGGTTTGGTAGGCTGTGAGAGAATGAGATAATATGGATTAAATATGGGTTTATGGATTTATGGATTGTCCTAACCAGTGATAAGATGGGTAGATTTAGCTAGCTATCTGATTTCTTACATCTCAGACCTTACTTCTGGAATCAGTCTCCTCCTGAAGTATATCTTTTTAATGAGTTCCTTTAGTAGGTCTTTGTCTTTTTTTAAATTGAAGTATAACTGACACACAATGTTACATTAGTTTCAGGTGTACAGCATAGTGATTCCACAAGTCTATGGTTTTGCTCTGCTTCCCAAAAGTGTAGGTACCATTGTCACCATACAACACTATTACAATACCGGCAACAGTCCCTGCTTTTGTCTGATTCCTTTTTTTTTTTTTTTTAAGATTTGATTTATTTATTTGACAGAGAGAGCAGAAGAGAGGGAATACAAGCAGGGTGAGTGGGAGAAAGAGAAGCAGGCTTCCCGCCAAATAGGTAGCCTGATGTGGGGCTTGATCCCAGGACCCTGAGATCATGACCTGAGCCGAAGCCAGACGCTTAATGACTGAGCCACCCAGGCGCCCCTGATGGTATCTTTCTTTCACCTTCATATGACTGATAATTTAGCTCAGTCTACATTTGTTTAAGTGTGTTTATTTTATCTTGGTACTTTGAAAATATTTTCCACTATCAACTGGCACCCATTGTCTCAGTTCAGAAATGTTCAGAAATTTAATAGTTGTTTCTTTGTAGGATATGTCTTTCCTTTCCCGTTACTTTTTCTATGGTTTTCTGCAGTTTGACGTTGTCGTGTTTGAAAAGATCCCTTTTACTTATCCTGGTTGGGCTTCATTTTGCTTCCAGAATCTGAAGATTCTTGTCTTTACTCAGTTCTGGAAAATTCTTAGCCATTATCTCATCATATACTGTCCTTTTTGTATTCTCTCTTCTCTCAGAGTTCTTGCTAGGTGTATGGTAGACCCTCACAATATATCCCTAATGTCTCTCGATCTTTCTTTCATATTTCCTTTGTCTCTGGGCTGCCCTTACTAATTTCTTTAGATCTGTCATCCAGTTTACTAATTCTCTCTTCAATGTGTAATCTACTGTTTAACCCAAATATTGGCTTTGGTTGCAATTATTAAATTCTTTATTTGTAGAAGATCTACTTGTTACTTCTCAAAGCTGCGTGGTCATATTTTTAAAAAAGCAATATCTTGTTTCTTACTCCTGTATTATTTTGTTTAATCATTTAAATTTATTTTATTTTATTTTATTTTTAAAGATTATTTATTTATTTGACAGAGGGAGAGAGACAGGGAGAGAGGGGACACCAGCAGGGGGAGTGGGAGAGGGAGAAGCAGGCTCCCTGCTGAGCAGGGAACCGGATGCGGCACTTGATCCCAGGACCCTGGGATCATGACCTTAGCTGAAGGCAGATGCTTAACGACTGAGCCACCCAGGTACCCTTAAAATTATTTTATATTCTGTAACCAATAGTTCCACTATCTAAAGTTCACAAGCTTCATATTTTGTTTGTGGTTTCTGTTGATTCATTCATGGTGGCTTGTTTCCTCACATATATTATAATTATATTTTGGGGGGCGCCTGGGTGGCTCAGTGGGTTAAGCTGCTGCCTTCGGCTCAGGTCATGATCTCAGGGTCCTGGGATCAAGTCCCGCATCGGGCTCTGCTCGGCGGGGAGCCTGCTTCCCTCTCTCTCTCTCTCTCTCTCTCTCTCTCTGCCTGCCTCTCCGTCTACTTGTGATCTCTCTCTGTCAAATAAATAAATAAAAAATCTTAAAAAAAAATAATTATATTTTGGGTGCTCATATTTAGCT